CAGGAGTACTTGTGGCGCCTTAGAGACTAACAAATTTATTAGAGCATAAGCTTTCGTGAGCTACAGCTCACTTCATCAGATGCATAGAATGGAACATGGAATGTTGTTCCATTCTATGCATCTGATGAAGTGGGTTTTGGCCCACGAAAGCTTATGCTCTAATAAATTTGTTAGTCTCTAAAGTGCCACAAGTACTCCTATTCTTTTTGCAGATACAGACTAACACAGCTGCTACTCTGAAACCAGGAAATGATAAGTAGCCTGACCATTTTTTTCTCAGCAGTAACCTGGTTCCCAAGGGGATGAACTTGTAGCCTGAAGGCCAAGTGGTTTGTCAGGAGGGACCAAGATTACTGCAGAGAAAAACAGTGTGAGGTGACTATAAATAACACCTGGCTAGAAGCCAGCCAACCCAAGCCATTTCATGGTTATTAATTTTTCTGTCAAGTGGGCCATCACTAACTTCACATTCAAACTGTGACACTGATCCAGCTGGAGGCATTGGTGCTCAGGGGGCTTAACAGGAACATCGGCAGAGACGAGCAACGGCTGGAGCCAGGACCCACCCGGCTGTTTTTGTTGAGTTTGTAATTTATTGCCGGTCTCTAAAGCGTGGCTGTCAATAAAACGAAAGTCAGCGAAACCCCCAGCAGGCTGCACGAAGTCAGGCAGAGGCGCTGGGTGAGGAGCCAGGGCTGGCTGCAGGGTGGATCAGGCAGCTGGCTGGGTGAGGAGCCAGGGCTGGCTGGGGTCAGGCCGGGAGCTGGCGGCTCGCCCGTGGGAAGTCAAAGCCAGACAATTACGCGTCAGCAGGGCCCGACGTGCCGCCCTGCCCGGCTTCCCATTGGTGCCTGAGCGAGTGGGTGACGGTGGGCCCGGGCGGGCCGGCCCTGGGTGCGCCCCCCGGGGCCTGGCGAGCGTCGCTGGCTCGTTCACCCGCTGCCGCGCCGGCCGGCCGGCCCGCGGCGGGTGGGCGCTGGGCAGGGCGGGAAGGAGCCGGGGCGAGCCGCGCAGGGAGCAGCGTGCGGCCCGGCCTGGCTGGCGGCGCCCGAGCGCAGGCGGAGAGGAACGTGAGCCGGGCGGGCGCCGCTCGAGCCCCGCCAGGCGCTGGGCTCCCGTGCGGGGGCGCCGCAGGCTCCGGCCTCTCCCAGCCGCCCGGGCTGCGCGGGGCAGCTCCCAGGTCCAGGCGGGGGTGGCGCGCACGGGGCCGCCGGGCAATTCCCGAGCCCGGCCTCCGCCACACCTGTGGGCGGCCGGCCCGGAGCCAAGCCCGCCTCCCTAGGCTCAGCCCGGGGCCTGGTCTGCTGCCCCGCCCCTTCCCGTGTGGGGCTCCCCAGTCCCCGTCCCTCCTGAGTGTGTCCCCTCCACGCGCCCCTACCTGTGGGGGCCCCCCAATCTGTGTCCCCCGAGTGTGTGCTCCAAGCACCCCTTCCTGTGTGGGGCCCCCAGTCCCTTCCCCTTCCTATGGCCCCCTTCCTATGGCCCCCCCCCATCTCTAGTGTGTCCCCTCCATGTGCCCCTTCCTGTGTGGGGCCCCCCAGTCTGTGTCCCCCGAGTGTGTCCTGCACGTATCCCTTCCTGTGGGCCCCCCCTGTTTCCAATATGTCCCCTCCACATGCCCCTTCCTGCGTGGGGCACCCCAGTCTGTGTCCCCCTGAGTGTGTCCTCCAAGCATCCCTGTCTGTGGGCCCCCCCCCGTCTCCAGTGTGTCCCCTCCACATGTCCCTCCATGCACCCCTTCCTATGTGGGACTCCCCCAGTCCATTTCTCCCTGAGTGTGCCCTCCATGCACCCCTTCCTCTGTGTGTCCCCTCCATGCACCCCTTTGTGTGGGGCCTCCGTCTCCAGTGTGTCCCCTCCATGCACCCCTTCCGATGTGGGCCCCCCCAGTCTGTGTCCCCCTGAGTGTGTCTCCTCCATACACGCCTTCCTGGGTCGGGTCCCCCACTTCCAGTGTGTCCCTTCCATGTGCCCCCTCCTGTGGGGGCCCCCTTGTCTTCTGTGTGTCCCCTCCATGCACCCCTTCCTGTGTGTGGGCCCCCCCATCTCCAGTGTGTCGCCTGCATGTGCCTCTTCCTGTGTGGGGGCCCCATCTCCAGTGTGTCCCCCATGTCCCACTTCCTGTGTATGTGGGGGCCAATCTTTTGGCCCCCTGTGCCCTTTCCTGTTTGGGGATCTATTCATTTTCTTCTCTTCCTCAGTGCATATGTGACTTCCCCTTTCCAGTGTCTCCCCTACTCTGGTGTCTCTGTCTTTTTCCCATGCTCTCCTTCCTCAGGGTTCCCATTTCTTCCCAACCCCAATGAGGACTTGGAACTCACCCTCCCAGATGCTGTCTGGGGATTTTCCAGGTTCCCTGAGCACCACCACCAATATGCTCTGACAGGGAAAATATGTTTCCGCGTACACTGACTCCCCTGTGTCCAACCTGAAGGCACTGAGAGCAGCTCCAGTGCAGAATTGGGCTTGCCTTTCTGGCTGCATTGAGTCATTTTTGGTTCTAGCAGACTAAGTAAACTAGGGGTGAGTCCGCTTCCCCCCATAATCGTATGACCTCTCCCCATGAAAGAGTGGGAAAAATATGGAAAGTATGGGATATATCATCATAATCCTAAAACTAAAAGTGGATCATCTTCTCAAGACCATTGCGCTAACCAGAGAGACCATGGTTGATAGCATTGAACTAAGCATCGTAGAGTGATGTTCCCAGATCTGGCTCGATCCTGCAAATCCAGGATTGAGCCTGCAAAAATACGCCATGGGAGACTTAAAATTGTTTTATAATTAGGAACGCTGCATCTATGAAACACTGTAGGTTCTCCAGGCACAATAATTATCTCCCTTCATTGTTTTTTTTTTTTTTTCCCAATGTCATTTTAAAATAAGGCGGCACAAGCATTTCTGATAGCTTGCTCTTGAATTTATGTAGCACTGTATATTAAAATCCGTGCGACTTTCCATGCTACTTTTTCTGGCAGAACACATTGACAGATACAATATGGTGGGTTCCAGTCATGCCTTCCATCCTGTTGTACAAAGTCCATGGAATTTTATTTTATTTTGAATTTGAATTTTATTTTGAATAATGGAACTCTTCATTTAGTTCAATTATTGACTGGGAAAGAAATGAGTGCTATGTAATAACTATGTTGAACGCATGGTGTATATGTGCTGTTCTCACCTGCTGTAACCTCAGGTCTTCATTCCTTGACTACTAATGTTGTCTGTTAAACTGCAGTGGGAGTTCTGAGTGTGTAACCCATGCACCTTCTGGGTGGTGTTCTGTCCCATCTAGAGGCACCGAGACCACTTCGAGGGAGTTAAGTGAGTCTGCTCTACAGCCTTAGCTAAGAGCCTGTTGGCTTTTAGCTCATGTTGTAGAGGCTCATGCACTAAGCTCCAGAAGCCCCAGGTTTGATGCTGCCTGGTGACGACATGGGTCTGTCGGCGTTAAAGTGAACACACAACGCAAGATTGGGCCACAAACAGCCTCTTTGGAGGTTATTCCTGTGAAATATTTTTTAAAAATATGTTTAATGCACTCTTTTTGCTTCCTGATGCCTAGAGGAAAAGTCTGTGTGCATTCGCGGACCAAAACCTCACTTTACCAGTCACTGTTTTCAAAGCTTAATGCAGGAACTTACTGCAAATTCAGTGTAATAGTAGAGAAAGCGGACCACACCCAGGCACTTGCACAGTGTTGTGTAAATCAAACTTCTGTTATCTGGAAAAATCATAGGGCCAGTTCAAGTGCAGAGTCAGAAAAAACAGCTGGACTGACAGCAAGTTTGTGTATACTGTCCGTTTATCAAACATTTGTTGTGCCAGGATGTGGTTAGCCTTTGTAGCAAAGAATCACAAACAAATTTCAGATGACCTTTTGCAAACAGACTGTTTTTTGTGAGAAACTAAGCAGGTAACTTTACATTAGAACTGACTTCTCGGGCTGCTTTAATAGGTTTTTCTATTGGTTGATCTTTTAGCATTAGTTAAAAAAAAAAAAATAAAGCTGAACTCAGAATTGTACAGTGAGTTACACTATAGAATGGCCTTACCAAAAGTGTAAAGAGGTAGAAGTGTCTGGTTGTGACTTTGTTAAACCAGCACATCCAGCAACAAGCTCTGTGAGTGCATGTTATATACAGAGTAGTAAACAAAAGTCCAGTTTTAATTCATAATATTCTGAGCACAACTGAGGGAGATGGGTTATTTTATAATATATGGTATTCCTAAAAAAAAATGTTTTAGAACTGTTTAGGCCATCTGTTGCTAAACAAATTAAGCATAAATTTAAAGAAGCACATCCGACATTTCAAGTAGACAGGCCCTTGTTCTTTCCGAATGCCCCAAGCATCATGTATTTGCATAATATACAAATGTTATGACCACTATGACGCAGACTGTCATATTTTATTGTTCACATAAAAAAAAGTTAAAACTCAAAAGTTGGCCATTCACACTGTAAAGTTTGCAATACTTAAAAAAAAAACAAAAACAAAAAACCCTCCTTAAATTTATGGGAAAAGTAACAAGGGCCGTTATTTAGGCCTCTCTCCAGCACTTCCTTTTATGCTGCTGCACCTACCTGGCATGTCATTGACTTACAATGGCTTTGTACAGCACATAGCCCACTTGGGGATTTTTGTGCACTACTACAGTATAACAACAAGGGGACCAGCTTCCATTAGATACAATCCACACTAGTCATAAATATTTGCCCCAGTTGCTGGAGTAACTTAGTTTAATAGAAATAGTCATGCATCCAATGAAGTGAGCTGTAGCTCACGAAAGCTTATGCTCAAATAAATTGGTTAGTCTCTAAGGTGCCACAAGTACTCCTTTTCTTTTTGCGAATACAGACTAACACGGCTGCTACTTTGAAACCAGTCATAATTTAATACCAGTGCATTATCAATGTCTTTTTTTTTCTTTTTGAAAGAAAAGAACAAATGCCTTTGCTTCACTGCCACAGTTCTGTAAGTATCTTAGCCATCTCAGCATTATCCTGTGTCAAAGTCTGTTTAATCTTTTATGTAAATACAAATAGGTACAGATCACGTGATTAATTTTCCTGCAGCACTGACAGTGCAGGATAAAACAAACGTCAGTCCTAGAAACTAATGTTATGCCTTGTATTTTAAACATGCTCTTGTTTGGTGTTTCAATAGTGAGGGAAAGGTGGTAGGCAGTACAAATCAAATGAAATAACTAGCAATGTCATTGGCCATACCATAACTCAAGCATATACTTTGCCAGGTCAAAAGGGGAGAGATTCCCACCCACACCCCCTCGCTTAGACTTTTTCACATGATTAAATCAAGGGAGTTTGAGAGTGGGATCATTTTCCCCATTCCAAATAATTATTAAGAGTTATTAAAGCTGGTTTTCGCATGGGTGGGTTTACCTTGTCAACTCAATAAAGGAAGGAACTTTGAGGGGACTGACCTTTGGGGTTCTTTCGAACATCGTTTCATCTGTGGGAATAGCTGGCCCTGTTGTGTACTCCTGGGGGAGATTCTGCTTGACTGCACGCCCCCAGAAAATGCTCCCCTGCCCTGCAGAATTCCTGTGCTTCCCTGCGGAAAATGGCAGGGAAGCAAAGGGGGATGACTATGGGTGCAGTTTTTTGGGGGGATTGCCCCCATCCAAACAGAGGTTAGGCGTGGGGGGGGGTACACTGGGTTACGTGCCACTGCCGCACATCCCTGCCCTCCAATTTCTGCAGGCAGAGAGCTGCCCAACTGAAGAAGGCTGCCTTGTGTCGGCTTGCTTGCTAATGCTCCTCCTATGTCCTTGTGCCCGTTGGGCTCCCCTTCTATGTGCTGAGAACCTTCGAGTTTTTTGTGCAACAGTGAGTGCCAGGTAGGGTGAGCAGATGTCCCGGTTTTATAGGGATAGGCCGATTTTGGGGTCTTTCTTATATAGGCTCCTATTACCCCCCCCCCCCCATCCCCGTCCCTGTTTTTCACACTTGCTGTCTGGTCACCCTAGTGCTGATGGTAGGGCTTGGTAAAGGGAGGGTGGGGTTGTGAGGGGGGGAGAGGCAGTGGGGAAGGAGATGGGGTGGAATAGGACAGGGGAAGGGGAATGTGGGAGTGAGGGGACGGGGATGAAGAAGAAAGGGATAGGGGAATCGCAGGGGGAAGCGAGAGCTGGGCATGCGGCTTCCTGGCAGCAGCAGCTGGGGCTCCCCTGTTAAGCAGCCATCGAACCCTCACCCTGACAAGCCCTACCCCGTACAGCTGGACCCCGCTGATGAGGCCCCCACATCCAGACCCCCACCCTACTGATCCCCAAGCAGCTGCACCTAGACCCCACCCCTGCAAGCCCCACACCCCCAGCACCTGGATCCACCACACCCAGACCTCCCCACTAAGCCCCATCTTCCTACACCCAGACCCCCCCACTGAGCTGAGCCCTAACCGCCTTTATCTGGATCCCCTGCAAAGTCCCATTGCCCCTGCACCCAGAACCCCCCAACAAGCCCCTGTGCAGCCAGATCTCCCACTGAGCTGCCCGCACCCAGATTGCCCCACCCAGAAACCTCTTACCCCACCTCTGGATCCCCCACACTAAGCCCCTCCACGATTGGATCCTGCTGGGCTGAGCCTGCCCACCCACACCTGGTGCACCTGGCACAGAGGAGCAGGGCCCCGGGGTGTTTCTGGGGCAGGCCCAACCCCTGCACTGTGTCAGGGTCAGGTGCAGCGTCATTGCCAAGCTTCTGCACTGGGGGAGGTGGCGGTTTCAGGGTGATCTCCCACCTCAGTGCAGCCAGTGGCCTGTGCTCCTCACTGCCATGCAGAATTTCCTCAGGAGTAGTTGTGGGAGAGCCAATTCTTAAGTTGCTACTTAGCATTGCATTAGCCTATATAAAAACCTGTTTGTCCCATTTAAAAATACAAGAATGAATAAAGTAAATACAGCTGGTAAAGTTGCAATCAGTTTGGTTTTTACCCGTGATATTAGAGGCGTTTTAAAAATTTGTATATAATTAAGCTAGTTTAGGGCGGAATGTTTTGTTTTGAATGCTTCATCAGTGTCTAAAAACTTCAAGGCTCTTGACACAATACTAAAAAATAGAAGCTTTGTGGGGCATGAGAGTTCTAACTTTAGAATTGTTTTCTTTTAAAATTTTTCAGTACAGTAATCACATAACATCAGTGGATCTTTTTACATGAATTTAAGTTTCTTGGTATTAATTTAATTCCTCCTGCCAGCAACCTTCACACATTAACTATGTTTTCTCAAACTACAATTGGCAGCTTATGTGATAGTGGCTCACCCAAGAGGAAGAGAAGCTAACTACATAGTTTTGCTGGAACGACTCGTTGAAATTGAACACGAGCTTTGTGTGCGCACACCTTTGTGTGAGTAACCGTCGCCCCTCCATCATCTTCCAGGTGAGTTAAAATACGAATAAAGAACAACACTAAGAAAAGTTAGAATATAAAAATTCAGTGTATGTAAAAATGCACATGAGTATGAAGCTTTCTCTCTAGGGGCTGTTCACTTTTATAAACATTAGTTGGTTAAACCATATATAGCCAGAAAGAGGATCAGCAAGATATCTGTATGGGTTGTAGGGAGATTTGTTTCTAGCACATGGGGCAGTTCCAAATAATGAAAGGGTTGAGATGGTGATTATAATGTGGAAATATGACAGATGTTAATATGACCAAATATCCTAGACCAGGATCATTCTGTCCCACTAAAATACATGCAGAAAGGAATCTGGATAGGGAGGAGTGCATAATGAAAGTAACTCCACAATGAGTGACCATTCCAGTTTAAACAGTTTTTAAGCAACTTATATGCAAATGGCAGACTAATGCAAATTAACACTGCTGAGTTATAGCTAGAGTGGAAAAAAGTTAACTTTAAATGTCACCTGCAAATAGACATGAGAAAAAACAACAAAAACACCTAACAGCTTTTGAATTGCATGTGGAATGTCACACACAATGCAGATTGAGGATGGCCTGTACAGGTGAGATTTTAATTTAGAAGAAACACTTGTATACTTTTCTCATTTAAAAATTTTATATATGGTTTCAGAAATTACTGTGACAAATATCAAGTCAAGAAAATAAATATAATATTCATAATCACATGGCAACTTCCAAGATCTTGTGAAAGTTAAAAAAAAAAAACTCCAAATGTACAACTTTTTAAGAATTAAAGTTGCAACAAAACGTAGAGTACAAAACTCTAAACGTTAGGAAAGGAGAGTAGCAACATTTGGTTTCTTATGTAGAACTCCCTCCCAATTTAAAATAAGACAGTGCTGAGTTAAATTGTTCTGTTTTTCTAAAAAATGTTATTTTCTGTTCTACAGAGTTCAAGATCATGCCTAGAGTACAGGTTAGGATCAGCAATCCAGTCCTGTGCTCACGTCACTAGATCGTGCTGCTCTCAATCTGTTGTTGCAGTCAGCTTCCAAAAGAGGTGTGAAGTTGTCCTTGCTGGGCCATGATACTGTGATCTTCACAGGCTGTGGATGTCATGGGGCTCAAATGGGAGAGGGAGTTGGAGAAGTATAAGAACCTGGAGGGAAGGCCTTGTGCCATTGAAGTCAATGGGAGTTCTGCCATTGTCTTCAAAGGGACCAGGATGTCACCCCTGTTTTTCAGAGGTGTGTCTGCACCTCCCATTAGTTTTAATGAGAGTTGGGAGTGGTCAGCATCTCTGAAGAACCAGGTTTTAAGCTTAAAATCCAGTAACTTCAGAACTGTGTATTGCTGAAAGCACCAAAATAACGAAGATAAAAGTTTAAGAGTATATTTTCAAATCGTCTTCAACTGTGCTGGTATTTCTATACCCTAAACTCCTCTCCCCCTCTCCACAAGGATAGATTTTCTGACAGTTTGATTTCCTCCCCTCCCCCCAAATTAGGAGTGCTAAACTAGGTTGAGTTTTGACTCAGTATAGAACAAAATGTTTGAAAAGTCAGGTATACCTAACAGAAGGCTAACAAGGATTTGTGAGTCCATAAGTAACGATGAGCACCAGAAAAAACACACTGAGCATTCCAGGTAAGGATGGGAGTTTATGTTGCACTGGTTGTGGGACTTTTTGTTGTTTCCTGCCTGTTTCTCAGTAGCATGTGTAGCAGTGGTTCTAAAATGACTGGCATTTATCTGATCCAGAAGTGACACACATTACTTCATTGTCATGGGGTCAGTGACAATTCGTCTCCAAAGCCCAGCCAGACAGTGCCCCTGGGTACAATGGTCTGGTGGCAGACTTTACGTTGATGGGCTGTGTTCTGCCAGGGAGGCAACCTCATGAACACCTTAGCAGCATGTTACAGCTTCACAGCCTTGAACAGAGCACAAAAGGCCTTTTCCTTTATTGGATAGAGGAATGCTCATACAGTACCAGCATGTGCGTTAAAAGATCGTCACATGTTTCTTGAAGCAGGACAAGGCTAATGACTTGCAGTTGTTTCCACCTTGATTTTTAGTGGCATTTCACAAAGTACATTCCAGAGATGATGTAACATATGACCCTAATATAATTAAGCATAGCAAGAGTCATATGTATCAGTTGTCCAGCAGTTATAGTACAGTAATGATGTACACAGATTAAGTTAACTATCAGTCAGGTCACCAGCTGTGCACAGCATAGCCTATTCTGCAGGAAGAGGCTGCTGAATTTAACATATAAATAGAGATAGTAAATGTAATGTCTTGAGGGCTGAGGAGCTGTCTTTTTCTGAGTATCAAGTAACGGTTGACCTCCATCATTTTGTTGGCCAACCTCGGAGAACTAGTTTTTAAATGATAGTGGGTGTTTTTGTTTTCAGGAGATGGTAATACCTGGTTTTCAGGAGAGAGCTCCGACTCATACCTGATGCATGTGAGACATAGGTCTGTCCTGTGGAAATCTATCCAATGTAACTGAAGGGCCTAGATTAGAAGTAGTTAACACCAGGTTATATTTTAGCCTATTTAATATTCATTTCAGTTAAGATTGAGCCCAAGGGAAGGTCCAGCAGCTGAGGACTTTGGCCATATGCTTTGTAGTAGTGGTTAGTTACTGATTTATATATTTTCAGACAGGTGGGGGTATGATACTACTGGACACACTTTAATGTAATTCTTCGCAACCATGGTATATACAGAATGGGACTTTCCTCCAAGTTAGTACCAGTTGTGCTGATTAATGTTGTCTACCTGTGTCTCTATGCCACTGTTCCATGTACTACATCTCCTCATTTAGGGCTGGACAATTTAAGTTGTTGCCTATTTATTTTTCCACTTTATAACACCTATTCAGAGACCCATACAAGGATTTAATCGGTGTTAACATATTGTCATTAGCTCCTCTAAAATCTGCCCCTCCACAGCTCTTGTTAGAGACAGTGTGTGATAATCCTACAGTTTTCTAGTTATTTTAAAATCAGCTCATCTTTTATCACAACTCAGGCTACACATACTTCGGGTGTTTAATTCAGGAGAGAGCATGTCCTTTCTGTAGAGTATTGTTTAGATGAATATTTTATTTTATATAACCCAATTGTTTGCCCAAGGGGACACAGCCTAAATTGTTTTATATAAAATACTGTACTTCCTCAGAGAGAAGATCTTTGATACTTGACGTTAGTCTAGCAGACAAATGCATAATGAGATTCAGTGGCTGGAAGTTGGTTAGAAAAATTCAGATGGGAAATAAGACGTACATTTTTAACAGTAAGATCAATTGACTGTTGAAACAGAGTACAAAGGATTGTAGTAAATTCTCTACCACGTGGAATTGTTAAACCAAAATTGGATATCTTTCTGAAAGGTATGGGATGGTTCAATTACTGGTAATCAGGCTTGATGCAGGAATCATTAGGTGACATTCTATGGCTTGTATTATGCAGAAAGTTACTCTAGATGATCATAATGGTCCCTTAAAATGTATGAATTGCATGTTGATTAAATCTGTATGATGTCTAAATAAAACTACATTTATGAACTTGTCAGCCACAATAGAACCCTGAGAGAGAGAGATCATTTTCTGCAGTATGATTTGTGAGTACATTGTTACTTCTGTCATTCATACTATACATAAATAGTTTCCTATAGAGATAATGGATTATATTTCAGCAAGTCTCATCTAAAGACAGTGATGTAAAAACAAATGGGAAAACACAAAGGTTAATGGAATTCACAACTATATTATTTCCACTACATTAGATTCACACTGCAATGTAAGCTATAGACACTGTACTTTGTTTAAAAAAATTAATACATAGAAGATTGGGATGGTTAGTTAACGTTTGTTGCCCTGTATATTTATTTATATAGTATCACAGGAGGAAACAGACAAGAAGACAAAAATCTCTGCAGCAAGGAGTTAACAATCAAAGGGCCTGGATTCTGCACTGTTTCCTTAGCAGAGAGTAGCACTTACCCGTGCAAGTGGTCCCATTGCCAATGAGTGAGTAAGTACTACTCAACATGTGGGAATGGTGCAGAGTCAGTCCCTCACTGAGATTGAGGCACTAAACATTTTTTTCCTAAACAGGAAAAAAAAAAAAAAATGGACCAGGTGCCAGAGTGGGAGCAGATAGCATCAGAGAGAGAATGGGTGATGGAACACTAAAGAGGTAGGAGTGAATTTTCAGGAGGGATCTGACAGATGATGGCTGTTCAAATGTAAAAGCTGGTTTGAACTAAGTTCTGGTGTTCTTGCTTCTGTGGTGGTGTTTTTTGGGGGGGGTGGGGAGGGGAACATACTTCTATAGAGATGTTACCAGTTGTCAGCTTGTTTCCACACATACAATAGCTGCATCCTGGGATTGTGACTGCATTTAAATTGCTTGAGACTTCCTTTGATTTGGCATAATTATTCAAGTGGTTTTAGTTTTCTTTTTCCTTACAGTGTGATGTAATTTCACTTCCAAGCATCAGTGTGTAGTCATACTCAAGTGCTCAGATACTACAGAGAAAAGTGCCACAGGTACCCATGAGAACATCATAAAAGTAGGATAAATAAATTAATGCAACTATTTGGTATGGTGCCACTTATACACATATCACAGTTTTAATCTTACATAACTAAGCATGTTTGAAGTGCCATTTGATTGCAGCTTTAGTATCACTTCCATACTTGACTTTCCTTTCTAAGTTTATCTCACTGTTGGTTATGTGTCTGAAAAAAAGGGGTTTATACTCCAAGTGCTGACATGATGAGTACTGTGTATAGCAAGAGGGTTATGTGGCTAATGTTGTAGACTATGTTGGAAAGATATTTGTCACTACAGATTTTGCTTGTCATATGCAGAGATGACATGCAGATCTCCCCTTTGAAAGACTGATAGTCATTCTGAGATCCATCCACCCACAAAAACCACAAACATGCTGCTTTACTCAAGTCTTTACTTTAACCACTACTTTGTGATGCAAAACTGGTGGAGTTTTTGGTACTTTTTGTTTAAAATGAAATCTTTGTAGGGGTTTTCCAGCATCTTTGCTAGTTGCTAAAAACAAATCAGCTTTGTACTATGGCATGGGACAAGAACACAGTTCAGTTTACTTTTACACATGTTTGACATTTATTGAATTACAATATTGAGTCTGAAGAAAACTGGATAAGGTAGTTAAAAAATATCAGACTCAAAGATCTCTCACCACCCTGCAATATTTAGCACTTATTTCACCAACACAAATGTCAGCTTCACATTTGTACTATTTCTACTCTAAGAATCATCCTATCATGATTTAGTATCAGTCATATCTTTAAAAGATTAACAACATGGTTATTTCATTTGTAAATGCAAATACTTGATGTTAAGCATTAAGGCTGCACAGTTAAGCCCTTAAACGTCGGAAAATACACAAGTTAAGGTGTATACACTGCAGAGTTTAGGAAACCAGTCCCATGATGATCAACAATCTCATTTAAAAAAATAAATTCAGTGTTAGAATCTTCCAAGTTTCCATGTGTCATACTGCTGCAGCGACTTTTAATGATCACTTTGGACATTTTTGCAGGTGATACATTTTGTGCATTAGTCTTTTTATGTACCATTTTAGGCATGTTATAAGTGTCTGCAAAAATTAAAGAATTGTTAGTAGGACCATGGAACAGAGAAAACACAAGGCAGTGTCTTCAGATGCTTATCTTTTAAACGTAAAAGGAAAAGTACTCCAAATACGTTTCTCTTGTTCAAAAATACAATAGGCAATTTTAAAAAAACCTATTAAGTATGTGTGTAGGAGCATTTCCCAGTCTTGGAGACAAGCTGAATTGTTATGTGGAGCTATATTGTGACTTGACTGACAAAGTATCAATCAAGACACCATTATATAACAAGGTATCCATCACACAAGTTCTATTGAGAGTCCCTGCCGTTAGCACACAGACCGTAATCCAAGTTTCTTTGTCCTGTTCTGTGCCAATTTGCTGTAAAATGATGACAAGTCTAGACAGTCTTTGTAGCAATCATAGGACCACTGCATTACAACTATATTTTCTAAACATTTTTGCATTGTCTTGATTACCATGTCACCTGCTTCATTAGTGAAGAAAATTCTCAGTCAGCAATTCAGCCATTGATGCAAAGTGAAAAATAATTGGAGATACTTCCCCTCTATAACTTTCCATTATTAGTGAAACTAGCCGATTCTTTGTTCCTCTTCAGAAGGACACATTCAGGTTAGCCACGGACAAAGTTATTTTAAGACAAATAATTATATCCCCAAACTTTAAAATATGGGAATCTCATTTTAAAAGTCCTGTGAATCTGAGAAATGTGGTGTGCATGTAGGGCTGGGAGGCAGATTAGAATTTGAGAGTTTTTAATTCTTTAACTAACTCCCCTCGATAAGCTGCATCAAGTTACTTACTTTTCAGCTATGGAAAGTGAAGTAGAGAGATTAATACTTGCTTCTCACAGAGGTTGAGGGAAGTAGGTTTCACCTTCTTCTTGGTTTTCCCTCATTAAGTTGTTCACACCCAAACAAAATGGAACTCCTATAAAACTAGTCCAGTTATTTCTCCTATAGATTGAGTAAGGGGGAGAAGTTTATTTTTTTTATATGTTTGAAAAATACTTGGGAGGTACTTAGGAAGTCTGGTGTCATCTAATGTCCAAAATAAAATATATATAACTGCTATAGAAATATTTAAAGTTTTAAACAGCATATCCCTTCTCCCTCTCCCAATTACCTACCAGTCAATGAGATGCAAACTAAGTTGTGGGGCTCATATTATTTTACTCATTGAGGAGAAACATTAGGCTTGGCCTTATACACATCAAGAAGGAAGGCCGAGTCTCTGTCCTTTACTTCTGTACTCATGTTAGGGCTGTGGTTTGACAGTAGTAGTTTTGTTCCTGGAAGTTACCTTTTGCTGTTAAGTTATTCCACTGAGTTAAAAAATTACATGCCAACTCCACACATTTTCCAGGATTTCATATACTGGATATTGGTTCATTTCAGAGCTGTCTTTAGGAAGGTTTATCATACTGTTAGAAAAAAATTTACGAGTTAGACAATAAGAGTCTCGAATGTCTTCTAAAGTATAGACGTGTAAGAGTCTTGAAGTTGTCACTCCCCCTCTTGGATCCCAACACTGAATCCTGGACTAAATATATGATCCAACATCTTGGGTTAAAAGCATTGATGGCACCTGTTTTTAGAGCTGGAGGAATTTTTCCTGATCATTTATAGTCCATGATATGCAAATAGGGCGTTAGCTCTTCTCTAGTGAGTTGCACAATCAGCCTTTGTTGGATACAAAAGATTAACAGCACATAAATGTTGCACTTAAATAAAGGTTCTCAATTTGTCTCTTTATGAAGTACAGGTAGGCATGATCTGCAAAGTTTGAATCAGGAGTCGGAATCCCCTTAAACTTGTCTGTGATCGGAGATGGGAGGTTTTTTTGGTCCGATTTCTATTATTTATTTGTACTGTGGTAATGCGTAGAAGCCCCAGTCATTGTTATGGCCAGGATCCAGCACCACTGAAGTCAATGGAAATTTTGCCACTGACTTCAAGGAGGGACCTTTTCCCTTCTCTTTTATTCCCCCACCTGGGAGAAGTGTGAGAATAAGGAACACACGCCACAAAGAAATTCAGGAGAGGAAGACTAACTTGATTCTTTCATTGATTGACAAATATTACTGGATGGACTATCCACTAGAGCAATAAATACCAAAGTACCAAAAGACTTGGTACATACCAAGGGCTCATTTCCAAAACTAAACATTACAAGAAAATACTTTTAGTATGACAGTGTTAATTCGGGGGGGAGAAGGGGGGCGGAGAAGGGAGAACGATGGGCAGAAAGTAAAACAAAGCTGTTGGCATACTTGAGAAATTAAAAAAATTCAAGTTATAAAAATATTTCTGGTTACAGTGGTATTAATCAGGATTCCCCCCCACCCCGTTCATTGCAAATTATCTGACATTTCATTCTGATCTTGAGCAGTGGTTCCTACCCTTTGCAGACAATTGTACCTTTTTACCACATTAAGAACCTATTAACTGTACCACAGCTAGTTCCTGCTGTCTCCCAGTCAAGTGTGTGCACTCTGATCTGTAGTGATCGCTCTTGAGAGCGCAGTGCTTGGGTCTGGAGTGTGTTTTAAGCTCTGTTGCAGGTTTCAGCTTGCACGGGGTGGGCAGAACAATTGGTGGGACATCGGCTCCCTATCCTTGCTCTGATGAAGAGCCTCTGAGCTAAGGTATCGATCATAAAAGCTTGAGAACCATCCCTAGAGAGATTTATAGAACACTGTAGTTTCCACTGTCAAAGGTCAATTATTTGCTCTGTTAATAAAAGATCACCCCCTCAATGGCTCATTTCAGCATTCTAAGAAAATCCTTGCCTTTTAAAGTATTCTAGCTACTCAGTCATGTGGTTTTCAAGTAGAGGAAGGTTAGCCTAATAAAAGGAACATGGATTAGGACAGCAGGTAAAACAAATAAAATTTCATGGGAAGGGAACAAACTAACAGCAGTCTGTCAACTGTACAGTATTATTCT